CTCCCCCCTAACACCCCACCTCCCTCCCCTCCCCGACTTCCCAGAGCCCGTACACGGTATATATTATATATTTTTTAACAATTAACATACTGTGCAATTTTTGCTTCATTTCCTACCCACAAATAACAAAACATTGCCTCTGCTTGGCAATTATCACCAAATTTTGATGGCATGAAATTCTAGGCAATCTGAGAATGTTTGATGGTTAGGGTGAAACACGAAGCATATCGTCAATAAGCTCTTACGTGATTCCACTATCAAAGGAAAAAAGTACTTTGGTATTCAACCCCAGGATTAACTTGCTGATTTTGTCTTAAGTCACGTATTTCAGACTTGTTTCACGTGCCTACTTACACTTCTTAAAAGGGAATTGTTCCTGATCATTTTGATAGTGAAGAAGTTTTATTATTAACTTTAGAGAAATGCTCTACAAGCCATCTCTCCGGCCACCATGGAAGTCTTGATGCGTGTCCTGGCAGATTGTGACACGTGGGATAACAGAGATCCGGATGACGTGAGCAGGAAGGCTGAGTTGACGTTGAAGTGCCTGACGGAAGTGGTGCACATTCTTCTCACTAGTAGTTCGGACCAGCGGCAAGTGGAAACCAGCACCATATTGGAGAACTATTTCAAGCTGCTGAACTCGGATCATGAGGCTTTGCCCAACTCAAGAAGGTCCCGCCAGTGGGAGAGCAGGTTCATTGCACTGCAGGTTCAAATGCTGAGTGAGTAACAGGATCCTTTGGAGGAGGAGAAAAGCAGGCAGGATGAGTTGCTGGGATCACATGTCAATAGGAAATGGGGCTCTGACCATTTCATTCTCCTCTCTGTGTGGCTTTTGCAACGGGGCCACTTCTGAAATGAAACTGTTAGAATAAGAATCAGTTTGAAACATAGAGCCACAATCGGTTCCACCACAAAACCGCGTTCGACTAAACTGCGCTCGACGAAACCGCGTAGCTGACATCATCAACAGGGCGACAACAGCACGGAGACAGAAGCACGCTGTAAACACTAAACCTAAAATTAACCCCTAAACCTAACCCCTAAACCTAAACCTAACCCCTAAACCTAAACCTAACCCC